CTTGAACACTAATCTGCAAGAAAAAATACCTAGCCAATTTGGATGATGTTTATCACTAGACTCATGAACTATAAGAGTTAAAACCTGATTAATGAATCAAAGTAACTGTATAATCAAAGTTATTGTAATTCATTTACTCAACTCTCAGTAGACAATCTGAAAGATGACCTTGTATGCAATTACTATATTCCAAAACAACCAACAAAATTTTCATGCAAGGAAAAATAAGATACTGCAGCACAAAACTATTTGGTCAAATTTCAAGCTAATTACTCATAACTAGCAAATGAGAACTATTCAATTGATTAAAATATGAGGAACTATGGTAAAGAAAGCAATAATATATTCATACATCACAACCACATAAAGCAGCAACATACACTAAATGGAACTTCAAAAACAGAGTTATCAAAATTCAATCAGATGACAACACGAGAAATTGAAGAAAGGAGAGAATAAAAAAGTGTAAATGATTATCATAAAAAAGAAAAAGAGCAATCCCACATTTCAAATTGACATGATAATGTCAATTATGGAGTGCATCATGAAATTGAAGAGCGGGATACAAATAACCTTGTAATGTCAAAAAGTGCGAGTCATCTGCCTCTTAATAAATGAGAAGACATGTAGAGATGTTGCATTGAATTCTAGTCTCAAGAATTGACTTGGAAATATATAATTATTAACTTAACTGTTATAAGGATAAAGTTACTAGTACTGAAAGCAATCACTTTTATGAGTTTAATCACTAATACGCAAAAGTTCAATTAACAAAGACAAGTCAAGGACATCATGAATATATAGGTTCACCTTTATAGCATTATCAAGAAAAAGTCCTTTAGGAATGAGATTTGTGTAGTCTAAAATTAGCCTGACATTCTCGATGTCACTTTCTATGCTATCTGCAACACCAGGGTACTGTATTTTCATTGCAACCTTGAGACCACTCTTCATAACTGCTCGATGGACCTGAAGAAGGCATGTATAAGAATATTTGAAGATAAATGACTCAATGAGAAATCAACATGAACAAATCAGAGGTGAACAAGCTAGCGCTTTGCTGAAGAATTTTCTTCTATGGCATCCAAGCACATAATATCTAAAAATTCAGGAGGATTAGGATATGACGAATCTAGATCGAGACAACCTGCCCTATGCTTGCTGCCGCAAGTGGTTCATAATCAAAGCTCCTCAGTTTGGATGACCAATCAAGACTCAGTTCAGCATCCAAAACATCATTCAATTGTTTCCTTGGCATCACATCAGCTCCTTGACGAACAATATCCAAAGCTGCCAATATCTGCATCAGGGAAAGAGGCAAGACACGCATCAAAAGCCATGGTAGTTGCTCATGTTTATGCATACTTTTCATCAGATACTAATGATTTAACCAACAAGATTCAGAAACAAGTTTTGGAATCAACAAGATGGTTGTATTAACTTATAAAATTTTCAGATAATTAATTAAGCGTGATAAATTATACCATTACAGTCAAATTTAATGGACTGGACCACTATGAAGTGTTTAGCAATACACACTCATTGATATGTAATCAGTTAGCTCCACACCCTTCTCAAACAAAACTATGGTGAAAGCTGAAAGCAACAAAGACAGTACATTAATAAATCCAGGAAAAAGTAGTACCGGTGCTGGCACAAGGGATTCATCCTGAATGCTCAACATCTGGCCCAATTTAAGTGCAGCCCCTCGCATTCTACACAGTGCAAGTGCCAAACGTTCAGCATTTTTCTCAGATAAAAAAGGTGAAAGGGCAGACTGCTTCCCTTCTATTTTGGGCATACCAAAGACAATCCTCTTTGCAGATTCTTGGATTGTACCCCATGCAAGCCCAGCTCCCAGACCAGCAAACCTACATGATTATATGCAAATGTCTACATAAATGACTCCAACAAATTTGACAAACAAGTTCAATACAAGCATGCTTATACTGAATGGAAAGTTATGCATAATTTGTTTACTGTCATTCGTATCTGTCAGAATTTTAAACTGCTTAGTAAGTAAGTGGAGGCAGACATGTTAATCAAAAGCACAAAAAGGAATTTTGCAATGATATTAAAAGGACGAGATTTTCAAAAGAAGGCCACGAAATATGTAAGAATCACTATTATTTTTGGTTCGTTTAACTTTACCTTTGTATTCGTGCCTCTAGAAAAGTTCAATTTTCTAGAATCAACAAGGATAACGCTAGTGTAAAAGCAATCAGATCGGTCAATAATAACCTACCCTAGAGCCCTGCTAATGGGAGTGGACGGGACTCTTCTCTCGCGAGGTCGCCGCCTCTTTAGTGGAACGTCTCCTCCAGCGCTGCCCACAAGATTCATCTCCGGCAGGCTAGACAGGATCGGATCTTTCATGCTACCGTTCTCGCGAAGAACACCAAGTTCCATGGTGGCACCGTCCT